AAAGTTGGAGATCCCTGGCTTGGTCCAACAACAACAGAGTCCTACCTGGCGTGAAAAAGAAACAGGCAGCTAATCTTAAACATAAACCAATTTGTTCACTTGCCTTATTTTTACAGTTTTTATTCTTTGATAAGTTAACGGAATAGAAACAATGCCACAATGGTAGTCTAACAGAAGAAAAAAGAACGATAAACTGAGAAAAGAGAAAAAGACATGAGAAGAAACGAGAAGGTCCTTGCAGAAATAATTAATATTTAAGGCTTTAGGGGTGTATTAAATTTGTGATCTAGATTGAACAGGCAGGTTAAAAGCTGAGCTGGCTGTATACTCATGGGCAGGTAGGGAAGGACAACAAATCCAATGTGGTAACATCATAACACAAAGCATGAGAGAGGTGGAGTTTACAACCTTTCTTTTATCATTTTGACAAAAACCTTTGATCTCCCAGACTCCTCTGTATAGACAAATATGTTTAATTGGGACGTGTTAGAGAGTTTTTCACTTGTTGGCAGGGAGAACAGCAAATGGGCTGCAAAACTCTCACTCAGTTTATTAAGGAGCTAAAATTAGATAATTTTTTGTTCTGGCACTCAAAAGTTACAAAGCCGAAGGAATGTTACAGGGTTGATAAGAAGAATTAAGGCAATGTCTGTTTCAATGACAAATTCCAGCTGCAAGTGTAAGGAGCGCCTCATCCCTTCAGGGTAACCTACATTTGAATCCACAGACAGAAACTCCTGATGATTGGTCAAAAATGTATCGTAGTAGACCACAACGGGCAAAGGACATCTTATGTTAGGTTCATATCACTTGTGGTTTAAAATAAGTGATATGAAGTTTAAAACAAACCACATCACGGCTTAAGGCAGCCCATCAACCTAGTCTTCTAACATTGCAACATAGGAAAACGGTGCAATTTTTAAAATATTGTCGGCTGCCCAGAATCATGAATTGGAGGCAGGATTCAAACCAACAAAGAAGTAAAGTGTTGCTAATTATCAGCTAATTTTCTTTTTCCCTGGCTCACAAAGAACTGCTCCGAAAAGCTTCTGGAATATTAAGATTGTTGAATAAGTTAAGATTGCTGCTCACAAACTCCTCTTTCCCTCCTCCCAATTGCAGAAGATGGTAATTAGTCCAAACCTTCCATGATTACACTCTCGCTCTTTTAACGGGATAGAAAATATGCAACTCTAGCAATTTAAGGGCCAGGGATTAAAAACTGAGTCAGCAATTTGATTTTTCTATTAAGTTCTGCTCTTTGATGGGTGGAAGGATCCACCATCAAAATGTTTTGGAAGGAGAGAGACAGACATAAGTATTTCGGGTTCATAAATATTGTTTGGAAATGATGAGGACTCTCTGGGGAACAATTTGAAATCAAATCAAATCTTTCAGGCAGAATTTTGTATCATGCTTGCAAAGGAATGCAGAACGGTATAGGATGGATGGATGGGTTGCTGGATAGAGGTAAATCTCCAGAACTACGTTTCAAAGAAGCTGGCTTGTCCTCTGGCAAGTAACTATAGGTTACAAACCCATTTCTCATCATTAATATACAGTCAGTTCTCGACTTACAACAATTTGTTTAGTGTTCAAAGTTACAACGGCACTGAAAAAAGTAACTTATGACCCTTTTTTCATTCTTACGACCGTTGCAACATCCCCGTGGTCACCTGATCAAAATTCAGATACTTGGAAATGGACTCGTATTTATGACCTTCTGACAAACAAAGTCAATGGGGGAAGCCAGATTCACTTAACAACCAAGTTACTAATTTAACAGCCGCAATGATTCACTTAACAATGAGAAAAATCGCAAAAAATCTCAGTTAACAAATGTCTTCCCTCAGCAACCTAATTTTTGGGCTCAATCGTGGTCGTAAGTCAAGGACTTCCTGTGTAGAATTAGAATATTGGTAGTCCTTGACTTAGGTCAACAATTGGGCCCAGAATTTATTTCCATTGCTTGCAAAGTGGGGGTTGAGTCAATTGTCTCAGACAATCCCAGCATTACATAAGAATATCAATAACAGTGGACTACCCCTCTAATAACCAAAGGAAAATATAAATTCTTCTACTAACAGTTTGGGATTTCCTCATTAACTGGTTGAGATTTTTCTCAGAGTTTATAAGGGCCAGGTGCTTCTGTTCTCTTATCGCTGCTGAGGTTTCTCCTCCCATCTTAGGAAAATGCTTTCATTTTATTCCCCTGAACCGTCGGAATGCCTGTATTTACGCCATCTGCAATTCTGTGCAATGAGGTAGTCACAGAAGCACAGCCAGAAAGATTAATTATTATATTTGGCAACTCATATCCACCCTATTGGACTCCAGGGCAAAACTGGCTACATTATACTGGCCACAACCATGCCATCAATTTTTTTACATGCTCCGGTTGGATAACTCAGGTATGATTGCCATGCCGCGATTTTTTTTCTTTTTAACCCCACATGTCTATCAGTGGGACTTCAGTCTGCCTGGTTGTACATCCAAGTGTACTATTGTAGTCTTACTTTCCCATTGATCAGATTTCTTTCAACCAGCCTACCCCGCAGGGTTGTTCTGGGAAGAAATGGAAGGAGAGAGTTCTCTGTATATCTCCTGGGCGACTTGAATGAAATGTAGGATTATAAACCTAATAACCGAATGTTCCAAAAGGTATAATTTCCCATATCATCGAAAAACAGAATTATAGCAAGCAAGAAGTAAACTCTCAACACACAATCTCTATGCCAGGGATCTCCAAACTTGACAACTTTAAAACTTGTGGACTTCAACTTCCAGAATTCCCATGGCTGGCTAGGGAATTCTTGGGTGTTAAAGTCCACAAGTCTTAAAGTTACCAAGTTTGGAGATCTTTGCTCTATCTGAAAATCCAACTATAGTACTTTTTTGGAATTATTTATATGCACACTGCTAAGAAAATTCTTTTCAAACCAAGCATGCTTTTAAGCTCATATAAAACCAGTTTTATACAATCTGCCATTTCAACAACTATACAAATTCCCAATTTACTTTGTTTCGACTAGCTGGTTTTTAAACTGGCATAAATCCAGTTCATGATTTCGTTATATTAACTTGAAATTGGTGCATTTAATACTGCAAACTGAGGCTGGAGGCAAGAATTCTAAGAAAAGCTGGCTAAGAAATGTGAAAGAATTACAATTTCTTTCACTCACAAATACACACACACACATACTGCTTCCTCTCACAACATTGTATCTCCTCTCCAAAAACAACACAATTCAATCATCAACAAAATTAAACTACCCTTGTTGTGTTAAAAAACAAAAACAAAAGCACTAAGAAAGGTGTATTTTTTCAATATACAGCATTTGTTTGTTTTGCAAGCTTCCGGCCCTAATTAACATTCTATCTCTCTATTTCATCTAGAAATTAAAGTTAGTCAGAATAAACGGTGCGTGATTTCTATACACAATTGGTGTTGTGAATGCCATGACTCAATCGAGACTAGAAAATTAAGACAATTAAATCAATACTGAAGGCCAGGAAGTATACATACATTAGAAGTATATTTCACACTCAGAGAACAAATATGAGAAGGATATTTCTACTCCAGCTAAAACAATACAGTAATTGGAGTATTAAGGAACTAAGGAAATAGTTAGGCCAGAGATCTTCAAACTTGGCAACTTGAAGACTTGTGGGCTTCAACTTACAGAATTGAAGTTGGCAAGTTTGGGGCCTCCTGAGTTAGCCAAACAGGCCTGTTAGGAGAGCTTGCAAAAAAACAAAAAAAAAAGTGACATGGGCAAACTCCCTTTCTCATTGTTCCTAGTCCCAAATGATCTGCAATCTGAACACTTTCTTAGCACACTCAGCTGTGTTTGCCAAAGGTGATACAGACAAAAACCCATGGGAATATTTGCAGGCTGTATCGGTATCCGGTCCCACGGTTTCGGCGGGAAGGTGGCCACAGCCAGAAGGCAGCTGGCCCTTCTCTTTCGAACAGAGATGCTCAGGGCCCCTAACTCTGTCGGTGAATTTCGAGGGGAGACCTTTTTGAAGAGAGGGTGAGGCTCAGGGCCAGCACGACCCTACACATCCCTGCAAAATAAGTGGCACCCTGAGGGATGGAGAGCTATGACCCCAGCCCCTTTCTCCCCTGGGCCCTTATATCCTTGCAACAGGCACTGAGTGCGTGGTCTCCAGGTAATGTGTGAAAGGTGCACTCTCCAGGTGAGAGAAAAGAGGAAGCAAGGCGGCACGAGAAGAGAGATTCAACTGGATCCAGTCCCACAGGTGGGGGGGGGGGGGGGAGAGACGTCAGCACCTAGAAGCCATTGAGGCTTCTACCTTGAAAAAGGATGCTCAGCACTTCCTCCCTTACCACCTGTAAACTTGGAGGGAGAGGGTAAAGTTTCATCCAGAGCCCCCCACCCAGATCCATGCACAAAAGGGGCGCCCTAGATAGATAGGACCCAGCCCCTTCTTCTAGGGGTGGGAGGCTTTACATTATACCCTTAGAGCAGGTTGTTCTCTAACATGTGAAAGGTGCTCCCTCCACCAGGTGAGGTGCTCTCTCCTCCAGGTGAGGTGCTCCCTCCACCAGGTGAGGTGTTCCCTCCACCAGGTGAGGTGTTTTCCCCTCCAGGTAAGAGCAAGAAGGTGCTCCCTCCACCAGGTGAGGTGCTCTCTCCTCCAGGTAAGAGCATGGAGGTGCTTCCTCCACCAGGTGAGGTGCTCCCTCCACCAGGTGAGGTGCTCCCTCC